GGCCGTTCCCTCCACCCACAAGGGTCGCGCCGACGGTCGGGGGACGGCTAACGATTTTTTCCGGATTCGAACACATCGCTCGTCACCTGATTTCGGACTGTGTGCTGGGGGAGATATCGGGAGATACAAACGAATATATCTGGCTAGCTCAGCGTGGAAAACGTACTATGCGCATATCCAAACCGCCCGGGTTTGTCCTGAGCGGCTCATGGAGTCGCGAACGGCGCCTGACGGCGCGAGGCTGTTCTCTGGGGCCAGGGCCAAAGCGAGATGGACCGAAAGTCGAGAAACTATAGTGAGAAAAGTGCTCGGGAGAGGTCGTACGGGGCGGTTCCGCACTCCTCGGCGTGGGTACTGACATCCCTGAGCGCGCGCGGGAGCGCGCGGGCGATTTTATATTTAATGACGCGACTTTAAACCAAGTGACACACACACACACACACTCACACACACACACAGACACACACACACACAGAGAGAGAGAGAGAGAGAGCGAGCGAGAGAGCGAGCGAGCGAGAGAGAGAGCGAGAGTACAGTACAGTGATCAACAGAGACCCCCACCCACACGCCGCGCAGTGTGGGAAGCGACGACGAGACTCACTCCTCGCACTCGCAGCACGGATCCAACGGGAGGAACGAGGGGCCGCCCAGGCAGCCCCCGGGGCACGCGCAGCCGTTACGGTGCGCGTCCTGCCCGCCGCCCGGCATCGGCGCATCCTCCGCCGCCGGGGCCGGCGGCTCGCCCGGGATTGTCGCGTCCGTCATCGGCGCGCCCGGCATCGGCGCGTCCGGCGGCGCGCCCGGCATTGGCGCATCGTCCGCCGCGGACCGCGGCGGCCCATGCGCCCCACAGTAGGGCACGGCCACGCCGGGCGTCGCCCGCAGGAACGCGGCAAAGGAGTCGTGGTCGAACGTGCCCTCCATGATGGCAAGCCGCGTCGCCGCGTGGGGCGGGCGGTCGATGGCGTCGACGACGACGACGCCCCACGCGTGCTTGACGGCGTCAGCCTGCTCGAGCCCGCGCAGCCACTCCGCCGCGTCCTTCGCGGTGCACTCGTTGTACGACGACGTGCGGGCGGCGAGCATGCGCCGCATCGCCAAA